GCCGACGATTTCTTCCTTATTTTTGACCCAAACACCTTATAAATGCATATTTGTGGCCTTCTTACGTCGAAAGGAATCGATTGAGCTCAAAAAACACGCATGTGAAATTTTGATTTTTGGTCGAAATTTTCCCAAGGGTGGAGGTCGATGTCTTGAAAAAATTAAAATTTTCTCAAAATGTCTTAAATTTTTCTTCATTTTGAGCTCACGGACTCGAGGAATGCATCGAACTCATTGAGAAACGTGCTGGAAGTTTTAGATGCGAAATAATAGACATTTTCGGCACATTTTAAGCGTTTTTTGAGCGGTCGCGATCTTTAGCCGACGATTTCTTCCTTATTTTTGGCCCAAATACTTTATAAATACACATTTGTGACCTTCTTACGTCGAAAGGAATCGATCGCGCTCAAAAAACACGTATGTAAAATTTTGAGTTTTGGCCGAAATTTTTCCAAGGGTGGAGGTCGATTTCTTCAAAAACTATAAATTTTCCCAAAACGTCTTAAATTTTTCATCATTTTGAGCTCACAAACTGGAGGAATGCATCGAACTCATTGAGAAACGTGCTGGAAGTTTTAGATGCGAAATAATAGACATTTTCGGCACATTTTAAGCGCTTTTTGAGCGTTCACGATCTTTAGCCGACGATTTATTCCTTACTTTTTACCCAAACACTTTATAAATGCACATTTGTGACCTTCGTACGTCGAAAGGAATCGATTGAGGTCAGAAAACACGCATGTAAAGCTTTGAGTTTTGGCCGAAATTTTTCCAAGGGTGGAGGTCGATTTTTTGGAAAAATTAAAATTTTCTCAAAATGTCTTAAATTTTTTATCATTTTCAGTTCACGGACACGAGGAACGCATCGAACTCATTGAAAAACATGCTAGAAGTTTCAGATCCGAAATAATAGACATTTTTGGCACATTTTAAGCGTTTTTTGAGTGTTCACGATCTTTAGCCGACGATTTCTTCCTCATTTTTGACCCAAACACTTTATAAATGCACAGTTGTAACCTTCTTGCGTCGAAAGGAATCGATGTAGCTCAAAAAACACGCATGCAAAATTTTGAGTTTTCGCCGAAATTTTTCCAAGGATAGAGGTCGATTTTTTGAAAAACTGGAAATTTTCTCAAAATGTCTTAAATTTTACATAAATTTCAACTCACGGACACGATGAATGCATCGAACTCTTTGAAAAACATGCTAGAAGTTTCAGATCCAAAATAATAGACATTTTCGGCACATTTTAAGCGTTTTATGAGCGTTCAGGATCTTTAGCCGACGATTTCTTCCTTATTTTTGACCCAAACACTTTATAAATGCA